AATGATAGACAGGCTGTTGCTTGTCGTAATCATTGGATGTTTTGCGTATGACCACTGTTTAACGGCCTGGTAGGACGCAACACGCATATCGTGTCGAAGGTCGAAATATATAGAGTTACAGTTAATTACTCTCCGACATTGCTTGAATAGGATTTAGTTTGAACACGTATGGCTACCGCTAGTCTACGGACCAATACATTGTGAACGCTGAGTAAAAGAATAAATGTTTGCAGATTGTGGGGTTGATTCTTTAGCTTGCTCATCCTATAGAATAAAATCACATATAGTGCTGTCTGTTATACATGTTGAGCGAAAAATCTTCATGTATGCTGTGCGAACTAGCGTTGCGATTATGTCCTTACCTATCAGTTCGGAAGACCTGGTTCGGATACTTAGTCAACCAAAATTGTCAAGAGTACTTTATTCTTAGCTAACGCTATCTAAATTACCTGGCTAGAAGCTAGGGCAGGTGCCGAGAAAAAAGCCTGATAATAAATTATATGGATAAAAAATTCACAACTGGCTTCCGCATCACTTATCTTACGACCTAAATGTGTAAAGTATAAAAACATAAAAGAACTTAGTGAAGGACGAAATAATGAATAGGTTCCAAGCTTTTGCCAAACCTGAGCAAATCATTAAGCGATCCGGATGAATTTTTGAGGCTGTTTTTTTATCCGCAATAATATCCTACGTAAAGGATTCGCCTTAGCTGACTTGCTAACAGTGATTCTGAGAACTCATCACAAGAAGACAGCTTTTGTTTTCAGATCATATGCGTAATGCCATTCATTGCTAAACGTCCCAACTCGTTTCGATTACCCACCAGTTACAAAATTCATTAAACTATACCATTTCCGTATTAGTCCAGTTGGTAAAAACGGAAGGAATTACCAAATTTCAAAAGAGGACATATAAAACAATAATATCGAATTATTAATTTCGATTGCTGCGCTCATGAAATGTTTTTAACCGCTAAGCCATAATTTTAATTGCTGTTTAAAAAGAAATAAAAACAAAAAAAGAAATGGAAATTGTAAGTTTTTCACGTCCTTTACATTTATATTAAGCGAGTGGCCTGAACCCGTGCCGTAGAACGAAGTGGCACATAAAATTTAAGAAAAAAACGGAGATATATATCAGACATATTTTTTTTTATTTTATGAAACGCAAATGAACCGATCAATTAAAATAGCATACGTAGAACATTTAAATATATATATATATATGAACAGCTATGCAGGCGCTCTCAGTTGAGATGCTATGAAAGATGGCCTGAACTCACAATCGTAATCAGTCCACTACCGAAATGTAATAGTTCTGAGAAAAGCTAATTTACTTAGTATTTGCTGATCGGTGGACAGTTGGCTTGTTGTCCCGAATCAGATCGATGCTTGTTTGTAGGACCGATATCATCAGACCGGCCACTGCATTTCATAAAAGGACAAGCGGCATTAATAACGGTGTCGGATCTAACTTCTGCCAAGGTACCCAGTTCGGTTCGGATTAACTGTTATTAGGATATTCCGTATCGACGAAAACATAAAAAGAGGCACCACCGTCCATTATTGATCTTATACCGATTCTCGATGTTTGCACGGGATCACGTTATGAGTGCTGATTGGGTCCTGCAGCTCAATGGTATAAAAACAGCCTAGCAGCACGCCAAAAGGGCTGAAAAAAAACTCATAGGGGAGTTTGGTCGTTGAAACGGAATGTAAATAATAGTAGACGGAATAACAAGGTATTGAAGAAAGTTGCCGCTGGGTTGACTCCACCATGTGCTTTCCAAGTGGGAAGTACTGATGAAATATTTTTACTTTAACAAATGTCTAGATGTCGTGACAGCATGCTACATATGAGACTCAATAACTGTGATTCGTTCAAGTCTTGGAGATGTTATACAGAGGTGCATGCATCATTCAAAGGTCTCACCTATTAGCATGATGGTATAATGAGAAGCCGCGAAAAGTTCATATGAAAGAGCACTTCGGAGTCAAACTCCTAATTTTATTTCAATTGCTATAGTACAGCAGCGATGGTGATATTTATACTTACCAGTCGCACGAATTACGCAGTGCCAGGCTGGTAGAAAGTAAGTCTTGACGAACATAGGGCATATTTTTGGTGAATAGAATCTCGGCGGAATAAGATTAATCGCGCAGGGAGAGCCTTGCATTGCTCTAAGTTCTGATGTGTTTCACAAACGTGGTGGCCGGCTAAAATTAACTTAAAACCCCTTCTACCGAAAGTCCAAAACGAGTGTAATAGGCGTTTTCCAGTTAATTTTTTCCTAGTTCGGTCATTGATGGGAAACCCGACTGTAGCCCGTTAGAGTTGATCAATATATGCCATACAATGCGATATGACGATTCTATGCATGAATGTCTGCATAAGCACGACGCTTAGCATGTGTGTGTGTGTGTGTGTGTGTGTGTGTCACAGACGTAGGACGTCGCTGGCCTCATCAACGTCACAAAAGCTGTAGGCGCAACGGCCATCAAAGGAACAAATTCCACAAATACTTGGACTTATTTAGCGTTCAGTTGAGAGCGGTCGGTGTTTTCGTTTTGTTTTGTTGCTAGACGGGCGCTGCTGTTGCAATGGCCATTGGCTGCCAACTACCGAGCGCCGATGGCCGAGAAACCTTTCACGTGTTACATGCGGACACGGCAGCGGCCGCACCACTTAGTTATTGATCTCTCCTTTTTGAGCTCTTTTTTGAACACCACCGAAAGCGACTTGTGATGCCGCGGTTGCTATTATCGTAGCAAGGCCGGGTAAGGTTGTCGCCCGTCGATATTACGGTGGCGAAGAGGCTCGTGCGAACGATGGCTACGCGTAACTCTGAACGTTGTTACCCAGGGAGGCGGAATACATGCCGCGTTTTGTATAGTCGAGCAACAGAGCGCTCCAATGCCAGCCGACCGCGCGCTAACGGCAAAAAGAAAATATTAGATCATGCGGCTACGACAATGACGACGAGTGTCGCTGCTGCTGCTGCCGCCGCCGACCTTTCTTTTGCGCTCTGCCTCTACCTCTCGTTCACCTCAGCTGTTGCTCTCGCTATGAGCTCTTCTAGCGGCGCCGCCGCCGTTGCCTTCGTAGTAGACACCGCCATCTTCATAAGCGAGGTTCGTTCCTCGGGGTTTACGTGATCATTGGACTGCTTGCTTCGCTCACCTGGGATGGCGGCCGCGTCTGCGGCGGCACCATCAACAGTAACAACAGCCTCAGCAGCAGGTTACTTCTTCGTCGGTCGATCTTCTTCCCCATCCGTTCGTTCGTCTCTTAGCGATTGCTGTTCTTTTCTGTGTTCAGTACTACTGTGTTGTTGATGTTGTTGGTGTTCTTAGCCAACTTGTTGTTTTCCTCGGCAGCTTCTGGCGGGGCCTCCACTTTGTTGTTCTCAATGCTGCGGGCCGAGCAGGCGAAGTGAATACCGTCGTTCGCTGTGAAGTAAGCCGAGGTAGCGGAATACTAGTCGGACCACAGGGACCAGTATAAACCAATACATGCGTATGTCTGTGGGCATGTACGATCTGGGTAATAGCTTTCTGTTCAGGCATCTGTCAGCTATCGAAAAACCTTCTCGACACAAGAAAAGGCCTCCGCCGATGAACGGAGCAGATCAACCAAATACTTACGCCACTCCACGGCGCGGTCTACAACCGCCAGACTGCGTGCCGCGGCGCATAGCCCCCTCCCCGTATCAATTCCCCTCGTCATGTCCGCCGACCAAACACTAAAAGTCGCGTAGCTAACAGCTTTTCAAGCTAACAAGTAGCGTGCCCTCTCGTAGAAAAACAATTCTAGATTTTATGTTGTTGAATTGTCATTATCAAGATATCGACGGATACTCAGAACATCTCAAAAGACAAATATGTTAAAGCATTTATTGAAGAATTATTGCCTACGCATTACATCCTCAATATATTCATGGTTTTCCGTTGACGGAGCAAGATCAGTGAGACTTGCAGCAGCCCGCCCAGCAGAGTATATAAAAATTGTTTCATGTTTGGCAAGTGTAATCATTGTTTCCTATAATGAACGAGTAGAGTCAAAGAAGACGTCTTTGCAGCTGTTAGAACTTGAACCCCATTCAAGTGAAAGGTTCTTATCTTTTTAATCATCATGTAATGAAAAGCATTTTTAAAAACTGATACTAGTCAGCAACTTTAAAAACTTCGTATAGGGCTCAAAGCAAATTTCATATTTCTTTTTATTTAGCAACATGATTTGACAACGTAGGCAAGATATAAACGTTTATTACCGAATGCAACACAAATTTACGATTAAAAATACGAAATACATTTATTTAATCTAATATGTATATAAAAAGTCCGCCGTAATCCATGTATATTGCAATATTTAATGGATGACATTACGTATTTTATTTTAATAGCTTCTGTGATTATCTTTTGTATATGTCTATATGTAAAACTGTGTACAAGCTTTAACAGCACTGCAGCGTTTTCTTTGAATCGTCAATCCTAGTGCACCCTGCTTCTGATCGAGCCGCATTCAGGAGCACCAAGTAACAGTACCTACATAAGCGGCGCTTGCAGAGTATTACTCTTGTTCTTCCTTTTGAGCAAGGATGGTAGGGATCCCATGAATTTGAATTGAGTATGACATGTCGAACACATTGGGGCAAAGACACAAAAAATTGATAGACAAACCGAGCACACATAACCCACTTCGACGAGATTGCGGTGACAGAAGCAAGCTGTGCGGTAGTCGACTACATCAGGTTTAGGCAGAACCAATCGTGAACGAAGCGCTTTTGAAGGCAGAAACACCCAAAGGAGGTATTCCAAAAGGCCAGCCATTGATGGGGCTTTTAAATAACTACCCCCAGTGATATCGGCTCCTTGTTGGAGTAAACCGCAGTCAGTTTCAACTACACATGAGTCAACGACAACCCCCTTGCGCTGTGCAGCGAAGAACACGTTCATAAAATTAAGGTATTGATGTGCACTCTCCCCTGACGAACTTACCACAAGCAAGCGGCCGTGGAGCTTGCCTAGGGTTGTGTGAGCCATCTTTTTCGCAATATAACACAATGCTAAAGCCATTCCGCCTGTCAACAAAGGTTCAGTGTTGTACACGCCCTGCCAAGACACTACAACTTCTTTAATGCCGTCTCGAATTACCTGGAAAAGAATTAAATTTGCAACTTACTTCATAAATATTTAGATTAGTAGCATCTAAAGAAAATTTCCATCTCAATTGGAAAATCAGTCCTCGCCGTAGATTGCTGCAAAATCCTAACAATCTCTGTTAATAGATATAGCCTCTGGCGTTGTGCTTTAATCATAGCCAATGAATTACTGGAACCCGGATCGAACATAATTATTTTTACCGCACATAACAATGCAGCTTGAAACTCGCCACGTGGGTAACCCCCAGGAAGCTAATTATTATATTTGTCTCCTTATTGGATGTTTATCTTACTTTACCGTAGCCAGTTTTATCTGTTACATTGTATTCCAGCTAAAGGACAAACCATAGCCTCGTATAAAGATGACATTTTATAGAAATCTTGCAATTAAAGATAAGCATTTTTTTTTTTTTTACTAGGATTTGCGTTTCTCACAAGCAATAAGGAAATAAAACTTTCGAGAAATTATGAGTACGAACGCCTATTGGAAACTTTTTTTAAATATGGTCACTGGGAAAAATCTTTTCTAGCGAATCAATTTCTGTTTAGTGTAATCTATGCTGATCCCAAAAACTAGATAATAATTGGATCATAATGTTTTAGGAATTCTGAGTTTCTTTTTAAAAAAAAATCAAATTATAAGCAAACGTTAATCAGTTGAAGTCCTGTTAGCTTCTAAATGACGGTTTTAGACGACGCGAATTCTGTCATATTGAGCCTCAAAGCATGGGAGACAGAAGACTATATTTCAATAATCCATAGTAGATCCTAACAGACTGTGTCGTAGAGTGCAACGTGTGGTGCTTTAATTCTACGTTCATGGAAACTCCTTTGTTTATAATGTCTAAGTGCGTGTAATATCATACCCATTATTCGATTCCGGTATTCCATATACAATCAATTTTCAGGGTTGAGGAGCAAATGATTAAAGGAATTATGGCATAATTACAGATGTGACGATTTGTGCGAAACAGAATCGTTTGTACATAGATACACAGATAATATATTTTTGTCTTAAAAAGGTTTGAACAGTCTCTGTTATTGGGATACAATTTGTTTAAATATAAGGTCGTTTATTATGAAAGGCGAGCAACATGGATCTTATATTTCCGAATGGCGCTACTTTATAATGGTGCTACAGTTTACGACGCTTTTTTTGTTGCCGAGATGCACTTGTAATGAAATCTGTGAGCGTTTACTCAGATATCGTTACTCGGATTTTTAGCGAGAGGGCGATGGTGAGCCATACAAAAGCAGAAAATTTGGGCGGTTTACAAATATGAGTTCTATCTCGGAATTACAGCGGCAGAGTATACGTGAAACCGGTATCTCAAAAATGTTATCTTTAGCGGACAAACCTGTGAAGCGAACGCAAGTGCTTCCATTTGACCATCGATGGGCCGCGTGTTCTGGATCGACACGTTCGCTGACGGGTAAATCATTTTTGCTGCGTGTGGGTGACAGACGACTACGGCCAGCAGGTTTTTAGATGAATTAAGTAGATGTGCATTGCAGAACGTCACCACGGAATCGAGCAAGTGGGGAACTGAATTCGATTCGATTAGCGCCGAGTTGAATGAGGTGTCTAGTATAACAGCGAGCAGCTCGCCCTCTTCGTCTTTAGATGGGTCGTCTCCTGGATGAACTTGACTTCCCATCGTACCACACTGTTATAATCTTCGTCTATACGTTACTGTTAATCACATAGTATATAAAACTGTTAACTGTCTTACTGGAACGAACATGCTTCGATAGTTCCTACACTATTTTTTGTTCACCGCTTCTGTTTGCCCAGACTGTCCAGCGTTGTTTGTAAACAGAGCCACCGCTGTGGCGGGAAATTTAAATAGGGAAGCATGTGAGAGCAGTGAAGTAAAATGCATGCAAAACAGAGCTCGATTGGAGTAATTACACTTATATTCGTTGCAAGCTAATGGAAAACTCATAAGAGGGCAGACAGTAATTAAAAGGCTTGTATCGTATTGTTTTAACATGGGTTATGGGTAGTCCCTCATGCCAGTACCATCAGTACAAAACGAAGTGGATCTGTGCTTGGGTTCGAACGTAGACCACGACGAATCCGTAATGAAAATACCTATGAAAAATACTTAAAAAGTATCGTTTGCTTTACTGTGCAGACAACTTAATATGTGCTTTAATGACAATGCACGATAAATTTTCGTTTGAATGAGGTCCCGGAAATGGTTTATACGTGAATGTACGACTCTTCGTGTGTATACTGCGATAAGGCTGAAAGTGAGTAAGTGAACCGACGGAAAAGCACGGGAATAAATTTGGCGGTCAAGTCATCTAATAGAAAACATTCATCCATCGGTGGTTCGAACATCGATTTATGATAGACGACACCTTGTGCAAATAACGTTAGCAGTAAATTCCCACACCTTTCGAAATAATTATTCTGGAATATTTACATAACATATGAATATAGTGTTTCTTTTAATGTGCATGAAACTTATTTCTTCTTTATGAAGTTTGAATTAACCAAAGCCCGGTTCTTGACTTATTTCATCAGAAATAGATAACGCCACCTATGAAACAATCGTGAAGTTGTAACGATAAGGACTTACTAGAAGGCTTTCGGCAGACAAGCACCAAGCGCAGAGAGACGTCGCTCAAAGATACACACAAAATCCATCTATAAGTGTTTCGTCTCAGCACGAAAATAGATGGACAGAAGAGAATACCGTAATATGAAGAGAAGGCGACGAGAACATGTCATCGCTGGTCGTATTCCCGTTGAGACCGAAGGGGTTAATAGAGCCAAACAATCGTGAGTAACCGGTAGAATTAAAAGGGAAAAACAAGGAACATCTCATAGTCGCGCTACAGGTCGCTCAGAAAAAATGTTCTCAAGAGCTATTCTGAGACAACGACGTACGTTGGAATGGGGTAAATATAGAAGTTTGCTGTTTGTAACTCAAGTCCAAAGGACCGCACGCTTGAGATTTACGAGAAAATGTAATTAAAAATTGCAGTGAGATGCAATGGTTAGATTTGATTCTATTTGTGTGCCTAAAGACGTCAGCTCAAGTGTCCGGTAATTTTCTAAAACAATAGCTTGATCACAGACATTACTACTCAAAAAGTCAAGCACGAATGGGTTTGCGCCCGTGTAAATGGCATAGTGATTTTACAAGACTTCCACTATTTATGATTCTAGTGTGCGTGCTATGTTATGTACGCATGAACAGCACATTGTTTGCTGTTCATTACATCGTGCAGTTTTTGTTCATTTATTTGCTTCGTGTCTCGTTGCTGTGATTATCGTCATTATCGTTATCATCATCATCAGTTCCTCTCTACAAACACCGCTAGTCTCTTTATCGATACAAGGGCTGCCGCTACTGTTAAATAACGTACAAGCCTCCGCCCGTCTGTTGCATGTATTTTGTCGTTTTGTAGCAACGAAGCTTGACCATCGCCTGCCGCCACCGTCGTCGTGCGCTTGCGCTTTCCCTTTGTTGCTCATTCTGTATATGCTTATGTGCGTGTGTGTGTGCCTGCCTGCACTTTTCACGTTGTGCATCTCCTCCTTACTTTTTACCTTTCCTTCTCGTTTGCGTTCCCCTCTCTGTTCGTTCGTCTGATCGGCTCTATTCTTTCAACTTCCTACCCCTAAATGCACTTGACTCATCCCATTTAGTTTGACTGCTGCCGTTGGACGTCTGCTGTAGACGATAGAGAAAGACGAACTGTGTGTGACCTGGCGTTCTTGCGACGCAATAGTTCTTGCTCCTGCCGCTGCTGTTGTTAGCGGCGGTAGCGACGCTCCAGTCGCCACCGCGACATGTACGCCATTAGAAATATAATATTCTGCATTTTGTTCATTAACATTATTTGTGCCCGCTGCTGCTGTTCCTGAAGTTGACGCACCATTCACTTGGTCAACATCAGTGACGGTGAATGGTTAAGTTAATTCATCTTGCAACTCATCCGATCTTTAATTAGTTCTCGATATTTATCATCAGAATATACATTATTATCCTCATCCACATCGACATCAATGCTATAGCCAACAAACGATAATCGTGGTGATGGTGATTAGGTTAATTATAATATAGTCTTATGATGCGTCGTAAATGAACGAAAACATATTCGTCAAAACGATCGCCACAAGCCCGCGCGTTTACGGAAACATTTGTTAATGGAACGACAGTTTTGAGTGTTAGTCCTCTACGTTGAAATAAACGGCCACCTTTTAGTTCGGCACCGTAGGTCCTCACATGGACCCGGCGTCATTCTTCGTCAAATCTCGAAACTTCCCTGCCTCAATAGCCCCACTTGCTGTTCGACGAAAGATAGTGGGGGAAGAAGATCTTCTCCATTAAGCCGTTTGGAGCACGAGACAGTATTCATTTTCGAGACCAATCTTTGCAAGATTTATTCTGTAGCTAGGTGGCTGGTTGGTCAGGTGCTTAGTTCCTCTCGAAGCGCAGATAGGCATCGCTAGCTTTTGATTTACACATTAGAAATTGACGCTTTGCTGGGTCGGTCTAACGGCCTTTTCGCTACGAACTCAATAATTTTTTTTATAACACACATAAGGGACCATTCCTTCTTTTGAACTCCACACGACCCTGTGTAGAGTATTTGGGCAATGCGAAATTTGCGTACACCTCCCATAAAAGCCCGGTCTGCCAAAGTGTTAGGCGGTTACTATCATCCACGGACGTTATCTTCAAAGGCTTGTTATACAACTTAGCGCCTTGTAAATCTTGCGGTGTAGGCCATATTACTAATCAGACGCACATGAAAAATGGCACTTAAGTCTCTAACTCGGTATAGCTATACACGGTATCATATATTAGAAAATAAGATTTACATTTTCCGCTTAATAGTCCTTGCTGCTATAACAAAACCTAAATGAATGTACCTATTAGCTGACTCTTGTTGTTAGCCTCAAAGGATTTCAAAATAGGACACATAGTTGATCCAGTTTTCTGTGTCCGTTTTGTTCTATATGTAAATCCCCTCAATATGCCGCGTTAGTTGCTGACTAGGCTCTTTGGGCTTTCGTAAGAACAGGAGGTGTTTCATTTCAGAGTAACTCAGCGGAATATTTTATTGCAGTAACAATCTGCCAAAATAAGATAGTTTTCTAATGGGCATTATTTAGATGAAGTCAGGGTACGTTGATATTCCACCTCAAACATTTTAGCATGGCATTGCGGCGTAACTTAAGTCACTTCATCACACGGGTATTCAGCGGAGCCAAATACACTATCATAACTGGAGTGGCCCCAATATCGCGAACGGACCTATCTTAACTAGCGTAATCCGCCAACCCAGTGAATTTGTAACGAAGGAACTAACAGGACTATTGTAATAATAACGAACTATACTGAAGAGATCACACAGAAGCAACTGTGAGAAAAACGAGCGGGTTCATGTTTGTAGATGGTGTGCCGCCTTGAGTATGTGTGTGGCCTAATAAGCAAGTGGTCTAGGTGTTCGTCCGGTGACCGGCGTTCTGCAGCCGCTGGCCGTCCGAGGGCTGATTCGATTTCAAATGACGCTGTTTCGGGTGTCGTTCAAAAGGCCACTTGATCACGCCAGCGACACGGCGTATGAGTTGTGTAATATGGGGTAACAGTACGCGTCAAATCAGGGATCACAATGACCTTCAGTCGCCCCTTGCGTCCGTGTGCTCCGTTATTATAGGCGATGCGCTTATTAGTATTTCAGCTCCTACAAATGCATCCGTCTTGCAAATTCAACAAAAGTGTCTGTATATAGCATTTTGTTTACTTGCGACAATTTGGCAGCTAATTGGCCTTCTGATGTCCCGAAAAAGTCTCGCCGTCCCCATTTAGCAGTTTTCATGTAGAAATTAGTGGCCATAGAAGAAAAGCCAGCATTTATCACTGGAAAGTAAGCTCTTCCGAATGTCTCTAGTGAATAACCCGTAATGGCTAGAAGCCTTATACGTAATAGACTATATGAGTGAGTCCTTATACGCGTAAAATATATTAAATTGAAATCAATTTTACGTGCCGTGGCGACCATAAATCGGTAATTTCTAAACTCGATCAGAAATAAGTCGACCCAGGTAGAGAATGAAATATTTTAAGATCTATGGATAACTTCTCTAACTTAAGTTTGAATACATAAAAGGTTGGCATCTAATAGTGTCAATCTTTTCGAAGTCAAGCTTTTCCTGAAATAACTTTTCCGAGCAACACCAGCCCCGATCGAAAGAGCAACTAAACCCGTTGTATAGGTTTGTAAAATAAAATGTAGTTTTTTGATAGCTTACGTTACTACTAATTTCTTACAATTGGTGCATGCTATTAATTATAGCTGGAAAGCAAATAAATTCAAATTTTGTATCGTCATCTCTGCTACGCCAGGCAAGTGAAACGAAGCAGATGTGCTGTAAGGCTAGCAACGTTTTCGTGCTATTTAATGTCAGATGAAAGAACGAGAGCACAAAAATAGAAAAAAAAAAACAAAAAAGAAAAAAAAGAATTGTAAGGTAACAAAGTTGGACTGAAGTCAAAATTGAGACGAATTATCACGGCTTTAATTAGTACAGCTGCAAAAACGAGAAAAAAACTCACACAAATCTCATTTTAATGGGGGCTCACAGTGTAGGGCAAAGAACTGCTAGTCTCGGCACCATCCGTTGGATCTCGTATTCGTCCCAATCATTCACAACTCGTTGTCCGGATGACTGGTAGGATACAGCCGTCTAGAATCTAACATATACGCACAGATAGAGAGACGATGAGAAGAAACAACAGAC